ACGGGGCGGTGAGGTGTTTCATCTGGAGTGTACCATGTAGCGCAGTGGGTGACACGAGGTCATGAATTCCCTCATCAGCATGGGCCTGTGATAACCATATCCGTCTCTCTGCGGTGTCCCACTTTAATTAAATAACAACACTGGCAAATTATCGCTTTCTTCTACCGCGTCTCCCCAGTGTCCCCCTCCTCCCACCGAACCACAATCACTGCCTTCCCACTTCCAACAAATGCAATGCACTCCACCTTGCCTTTTGTTAGGCTCGCCATCGAAGCAAAACGATCACTGTATCACTTCTGGAACGCTCTTCTTTCCCGTATTCGGAAGCCAATGGAGCTACGCACTTAAAAATTTAGATTGAACACATTAATTTATGAAAGTTTTTTTGTATTTAGGTTGTTGTCCTTCTCCCGCACCTCCGATTAGCACGCGTTTGCCTACGTAAATCAATCAAACTCCATGGGCAGAAAGCCCGTATCGTGTCCACTGCAACTTTTGTCGCGTGTTTCAACTTATCTATATCCTGTGCCACAACATGCTGGCTACGTACGGTACGAAAGTTCAAAATACATGTCCTTGCAATGTGATGCATGCCTGTGATCCAGTGCGTTGCACATAGGGGCGCTAAACCCTGCAGTGAACATCCGAATGCTGTGAGCGGTGCTTAATATAACCGGAACAATCCAGAACGTTTCGTGAATTATTTTGGTACGCCATGTCCATCTCGCCTTTTCAAAATCCTCATAGTACCATATATTCTTAGAAACCTTCCCATATAATTACAGGAGTATCGTATCGCTCATTGAGTTAGGGGCCGTCCATAAATGACGTCACGCAATTTTGGACGATTTTTGACCCCCCCCCCCTCTCGTCACACGGCGTCACAAAAAGTCAGACCCCCCCCCCCTCAAATATGACGTCACAAAGCTCTGCCTCCCCCCCCAAAACCATGTTTCCATTTTTTAAATAAAACATGCTTCAAATCGCTTTAAACTATTGTCATTGTAGTGCGTATTTAATGTGGCGCTGCACTCTGACGTTGAAGGACTGTAGGAGTGTTGTTATAACAATTCTATATTTATTTAAAGTTGCGCATTTTGATGTGACGTCACATTTCTCAAACCCCCCCCCCCCCTCGTCACACATCGTCACAAATGTCTGCCCCACCCCCCTGGGTGCGTGACGTCCTTTATGGACGGCCCTTTATAGGATATATGATTCTTATAGGTGGGTTATTACTTTGTACTCTAGTGGTAGTGCCTTACACCGATAAGCCCTACTCCATGCCATCCGCGTAGATAAATGAAGCCCTGAGACTCCCAACCCCAATGGGCTGTGAGGTGGCCATGAGATGGCACATAGGAAATACATTTGTATGTACGTTGAACTTCTTTCGCACTTTCTTGGTTCTTTCGGTAAAGTCACGTAGAAGGGAAGTAATAAAATAATAAAAATAAAACATAATAAAATTATTCTCACGACGTTTCGGCCACAACGCAAGCAGCCGTCCTCAGGTGAAAACCAGGTCCGTCGAGGCGACAGAGTCTGAATGAAACAGCACACGAGCTTGGAGCATATATATAAGCTGGGCGCCTTGACAAAGCTTATATATATGCTCCAAGCTCGTGTGCTGTTTCATTCAGACTCTGTCGCCTCGACGGACCTGGTTTTCACCTGAGGACGGCTGCTTGCGTTGTGGCCAAAACGTCGTGAGAATAATTTTATTATGTTTTATTTTTATTATTTTATTACTTCCCTTCTACGTGACTTTACCGAAAGAACCAAGAAGATGAATCCCTGCAGTCACGAAAGCTTTAAATCGAAATTCTTTCGCACTGTAGGTAGCTAACCGTGATAATTTGCGTCCAGACTGCAAAACTCTTGAATGTGATTTCTAGTTTAAAGGGTAAAACCTACTATTATATTTTGCCACTGGTAAAGGAGGTCTCATAGTGTAAATGCTTACCCCGAGCTCTCAATACTCTGATAGTGCACTGTTTTTGAGTTGTACGCCTTTTGGCATCATCTGGTCAAACACCAATGGAGACTAGGCTCTAAGGAAAGCTGTCTCGGGTGTGGACCAATCAACTTCAAGGACAGTGCATATCATTACCATTATCAGAGTTGTTTCTTTTTGTTTGAATTTTGACTGCTTGTGTTGCGGTTATTGCAAACATGATGCCTTGTATAAAGGTGTCAGTTTTGTACCAGTTTAAAGGGTAAAACCTACTACTATATTTTGCCACTGGTATAGGAGGTCTCATAGTGATTTCTATGAGTTTTATGACACTGTAGTTTTCCTTACACGTGCAAAAAACTGCTTTAATTTGGCCAAACATCACACTGCATGTCCCTATTGAAAAGTAGTGTTGAGAAAAAAAAATGTCAGCAAATTTTCAATGAGTCTAACGGCTTCCTTTCAAGAGGGTGCTGATAATAATTTACAACCGTTTGCAAATCCTCTGTTGAAAGAATTTCGCTCCGTACATAGCCAACCATGCTAATCGGAGGTGCTTGTTGAAATGATTCCGCACCGTACATAGACAACCATGCTAATCGGAGGTGCAAGGGAATGGCATGACCATGCTTCGCCTCGCTCGTCAGTGTGGGTTGGTAGAACGGGGCCCGTTCAAATATCAGGATTGATTCAGATATCGCTCACCACAGATAATAGCCGTAGTTGGCGAATGGAACTCGGGTCACCGGGTTCGTAGCGAAGAGTATCGACCGTTGCTGCACAAACACTATTACAGCATTAGGTACGATGAGGAGATTAATCGTCAGCAATGCTCTCTCCACTGCGAAATGAAGTCGCCTCAAGTCGGTGCCATCCCTTTTGCGATTGTGATACAGCAATACATCTTGTCCCTGCATGAGATGAGAGTGGTGTTCCTTCTTTTGAGTTTTGACAGTCGCAACCATTGGCGATTACTCTTCATAGCGACGTGTCCTGCTCAAGCCAAATTTTTTTTATTGACGGTTGATACGGTGTCTCTAATTTGAATTTCTTCTTTGATCCACGTGCAATTCTCATTATAATTACAAGCATGCATCGCTCCGTTCCTGTTTGTGTCCACATTTCAACTTTTGTTCCATTCTATTTGTGATTGTCCACGTTTCAGATTCATGTAATATCAGCAAAGAAACATTTTAAGAATAAAGTTTTCATTCATGGGTCATGTTTTATAATGGCCTCATTTAAAACACCAAGGCAGCACACCTGGGATTCGGGATTCTGAGCTACCACATTTGAAATGAATCAATTTTATAACGCATAGAAATGCAAATGTAAAGGTGCAGACTGTGAATGCCTGCTATGCCATTGCCAGCCGAATGACCTCTACGAGATGTAGTTCTCGAGAGTCCATCTGGAGAGTATTTGGCCTACTCTTCCATGCTAAACAGACGTCGTGGAAAAGGTGGGAGCACACAAACTTTACAGCATGACTCGCAAGATGTCGATCGACTGTGGTGTACACAATTACGCTCGTCTCAACTGCCACGCCAGGCGATCGAAGTGGCGACTTCTCGATTGCAAGTCCAGTGTGATAACCATTACGACCACAGCAGCGTCGCCTATGTTATGTAATGCGAGTAGATGCTCCTCCATATATCACACTTGTTACTGGGCTTTGCAAGCTTCCCATCACTACAGAGTTGGAAAACTACTTGGTTGAATCATGATGAGAATCATACATTTATAAATGTTCGGCATGAGACTTAAGGAAAGAAAAATCTTGAGACTGACCCTGCCCTATGAGTGAAACCAGTAAATTTCCACGCCATCATTATTTGGTGGACAAAATGTAAATGTTTTGTCTTTTGAATTTAATGCAACCCAGGTCTCATCAGAAGTGATAATATATCCCAGTGGAATCCACGTTTGGCCCTGTGAACGACATCTGTAAAACTACCGGACATCTGTGAAACTACTGGACATATATGAAAAATAGCTTTACAGCTCTTTAAATTCCTCCATTATAAATATTCTGATTCTGATCATAAGGCTCACGAATTATCGCAGAATTGCTAAGCCAATAATTGTCAGTGACCGGCCTTGTAAGGTCATGTAGATTAGGGCTAGATTACTATAAGGCAGTGCCAATAATATTGAGATGATACATGTCTAATTACACGGGAAAATGTCATTCAGCATCAAGACGAAAACAAATTCAAGAGGCTTCTGCTACGAATATTTAGCCATTTGTGTTCTTACAGTGAGTGGGACCCCCTCTCATCTGTGACCCTATTACACACGACTCATATTCTCAAAAGAAAATCGTATTATTCGTGGCCCTATTTTTATAACCCATGATTATCCGCGGATATTTCCATCCTGCGTTGCATAATCGCATTGGCTGCGATCACTGGTGGGTTAAGTGGGGGGGAGGGGGGCATCTAAAAACTCCACCCTCCTGTGCATGTAGGGAGAAAATAACGATTCTGCAGGTAATCCGATGATGCACAGAAGGTGTGGGTCCTGAAGTGGTTCGAGTTGAGAGGCACCTCCTGCTCTGCTGAATTGGGGGCAGTCAGGCACCTTGTGGATGGGTGGGAGAAGTGTGCTGCTGTGGATGGAGACTGTGTTAAGAAATTGGTGAGCTGTCATTATCTTTATTAGTTTAAACTATTTTTTTTCTGTGAGCAAAAGTCCATCCTCGTAAGATACCTACAGCATATACAAATATTAAATTAAAGTCCGTAAATGACAAAACTCATCCCAACAAGAAAATTAGTGTAGGCCGGAAAACAAACATTACATCTACAAATATATACAAATGTCAAAATGTATGTATTGATATTTTGTTTTACTTGGGGTTCTTAGGACTTATCAGCAGTCCAATCCCATTTAAGAACTGTGATGAAGCCAAGAGTGTCACATGGTTTAGTGCACAGCTAAACCATGGACGGGCCTTTGAATGTGTCCATAAGCAGTATCATATATTTCAGCACTGGTGCATCAACATACACAAACACAACAGACATAACACGACTTACAGTATTAATGTATCGATTTATTCACTGATTAATTCTGCTGGGGCCAAGTTATAATTGAATATGTGGAGCAATTTGTACAATAGTTGCAGGGGCGGGAGGAGGGGGGGCAAGGGAGAGTGGATGGTTGGGGCTAAGGGAAGGGTTAAAGGTCAAAGGTTCAAGGGGGACATCACATGACTGCAGCAATAATACAACACCCACACCCTACAATTAATGCACTTTCTCCGAAAATATATACGCGCGCTTGTGAAACACGTGTGCTCGGCCACTTAGATACATTTACAAAATATAATTCTCTTTTTTCCTCTTGTCTAAATATCACTACGGTGCAGATTGTGATGCTCCCCCAGGTTACCATACTCGTGTATGAACATTACAAAAACGGATAGCTCTCTGATGCGGTTACAAGTTACACCGCGCGTGGTTTGGCGTGACGTCCGACATTTCGCTCTGCGTGTTCGGCATAATGTCCGGTCATTTTCCCTCCGTGAGCTCGAAGCTTCAAGTGTTGAATATCTGAAGATGCTCCCAGCACGCGGAGCAAAATGTCGGACATCGTGCCGAACCACAAGCAGGGCAACCCAAAAAAACATCGGAGAGCTACAGAGCACAAACCGCAGAAACCTACGCAGTAGTATTACAAAAATGGAATTTGCAAAACCAATAAAAACCCAATCTTGCAAAGCACGGCTGTCTCGATGCCTTTTTTTTAGTTTACAGCAAAAACGAAAATATCGTGTTCGTATAGTGACACCTATTCCATCGACAATTTTAAAACAGCAAGCCGAAAAAAGCAAGACAAATACCGACCAATTGCGGTGAAATAAATATTGTACGTTGCGTTTACATGTGTGGGAACTGTTTGTGTGTCCTAAGTATAAAACAAAAGTAGGTTTTTGGTGCAGTCAGCACACGGGTCCATCATGGCCAAATGAACTATGGGTACACAAAGGTGAACCTTGTCATAAAAAAACCCCACAAATAAATACGTTTATATAAATTATAAACACAATAGTCTCTTCAGTCTTCCTGCTTTATGCGCGTCATTCTTCCTTCATTTTCTTCCTTTCTTCTTCATATAATTACTTTTAGTAGCATTTTAAGACCACAATCTCTTATATGAAAAAGTCACAATAGAACTCCTTAATATTTATATATGTATATATTTTATCTCTTCTCTTTATATATTTTTTCTAAAAGTTTTTTTTTTCCTTTTTGCGTTCGAGTTCTTTAAAACATCTCGGAATACCTTGGCACATTGTCTCACTGAATCATCAAGTCCAGTGCCACTTTGTAGGGAGCAATATTCATTTCCTTGCACAACACTGTCCACGTGTCAATGTCTTTTGTTGTGCGCAATACACACATACATACGCACACAAACCAAAAAAATGGAAACAAATAAAAAAAACGCTGACAAATATTCCAATTTCATTTCGTAGCTTCTCACGACACTTCCAACAAGTAACGCCTCCCCCCAAACAAATCAGACTCGCACTTTGTGCAACGATTGTGGAGGACCTAGAAGAAAAAAACTTTTAAACGTCCGTCCTTCTTTCTCCTGACAAAATAAAAAAAATCCAACGAGACGCGTGCCACATTTAGCCGGGTGATTTGCCGTTGAAGCGCACTGCCACATCGCACCGTTGTACTCCACAGGGCCTCCGTACTTTGCTGGCAGGAAAGCCCTCTGTTGAAGCCCAAAGGCGGCCGGCGGTAACAAGTCCCCGTCATTGTTGTGTCCCCCAGTCGGTGGACGCCGTTGAGAATCCGGGCATGGGAACCGAAGAGGGCCGGTTACTTGTGATTGAAACTACTGCAGTGGAGTGTCCGTTTTTTGGGACTTGAGGCCGACAATTAAGGCCCACACTTGGGTGCTTGGCGCCACCACTCGAGGTTGTGTCGAGGAATTTTACGCGTGGACCGCAGGGATGAGAGGCTTTTTCCAGAGCTGCTTGCCAGAGTAGTTATAACCGTCCAGGAGAACTCGCGTGCAGAGTTTACTCAGCGGTTGTGGCTGCTCACCAGCCTTGTCAAGATTTTTGTTTCTTGTTGTTTTTGTGGTGTCGTATGTTTTGACAGGGAATCGGGCAGCATAAGCAAAATGGGTGCTGTGCTTCTGCTTTTGGGAATGAACAGCCAGCAAGGTCCGAGAAAACGAGGTATACGAGCAACACATTTACAGTAGTTAACAGCAATGGTAAATACAATTTAGGAAGAAAAATAAGATTGCTTTGCTTTCAGTGTAGAGCAAAAAACACAAAATGCAGGGGAATGTGTGACCAGACAAAGGGTCCCTTGATTTCAATTATAATTAGTGTGGTGAGGAGGAGAAAATGATGAAGGCATTAACTGCATGAGGAGTCAAAGACAACAATCAGGGACTACCATAATACAGGAAGACTGGCCATGGCATGATGCCGTTATCGCACGTACACGGGAATGCCATCTTGTGAAAAGTTGTAGTCAATGATCATTCACAGGTGGCCATTTTGGTTCGGGATATCTACAAAAATCTGAAACGACTGTACTGTTATAGATCAATGGGTGGCAATCTTGGTAAGCGGCTTAGCAGGCAGCAGCATAACACACCTTGGGCGATTTGCCGAACAAAGGTTATGATTGTGATTGCTAAATACAAGGCCGTGAATGCGATTGCAAAAAAACTTGTGGATTTGTTTTTGGGAGTTGTTGAATTTTGGAAGTATTACTGCACTATTGAGGTCTTCTTTGTAATCCAAAGGCAATCGGCTACCAGAGCTGCACTCAATTATACATGAGCTCTTTGTGTCCTAACACCATGACGAAACAAGCGAGATGCCACTTGCAGTTACATAATTTCAAGTCAAGTCAACGCTTCTCACATTTATTGTTGGGTTTTTTCTAAATGTCAAGGACTGACTGCACGCGCAGCACTGTCTGCTTCTATTAACAACTGTGTCTAAAGTGAAAAATGTGAGCAAAAATCGAGTAATTGCCAATTTGGAGTGTCGAGGCGTACTGCGAAGGGGATGTACCACACTGGCCAACTGGAGCCAAATCATTGCCCCTTTAACCATGAACGAACGAGCCAAACAAGCAGTATATAAATACCTCTAGTCCAACTCTATCACAATCCTTGACAGTTTTTTCATGCGAAGTTTAATTCGTTGCTTGGTAATTGTGACTGTAACTGCGTTTTAACTATATTCTCTTCTCCACCTAAAATGTAGAGTGCATGACTGGAAAATGAAGTTACATTCATGCAAATGTACGCTACATGACTGTTAATTTATTGTTGACGCATCTAATGTGTTCGACCTCGACATTGATTTCAGATTAACGGAATTTCCGGCATGTTTGCGTATTTGCCGCATCGCTTCGCGAGGGAGGCCTCTCGAGACGAGGGGACTTCATGGGGTCTCAATGGCCACTCACGTGGGGTTCACGTGACAGACACGTGTACGAGCGTACAGCTCCGCTGCTGCCGTTTAACCCGACATCGTATTCAACGGTGAACCACCGTTCACTTTCGTTACCCACAGACGCCAACTACTGTGCGCACGTTGATGGAGCCATAATTGTGCATACGCATAGTCTATCATTCAATTACCGCACAGTACCAACTGCTCAGGCACAGGCTATCTTTAACTATTACACTTTACAATAGCAACGGTGCACAAGCAAAGCTTCGTGGACATTTACAGCGGCAATTGCACATGTGGACGCCACAGACTTGCTCGCAAAATCAACTGTGGATGCCCTAAACGTTTCATCACCTAACGGATTCCTACTCGGAATACAACGATGTGGCCGCAGAGAGCATTGCTGGCTTAAGGACCAATTGTGAGCAGAGCAGACTAATGCTGGCGTACAGAACCAACTTCAGTATGCGATCGCAGAGGCTATTATCCACTTGGACATGGATATTTTGCAAACAATAGTGCAAAGCAAGTAGCAACCTAATCTGAACCAATCAATTTATAAGAAGAAAAAAAAACAAGATTTTTTCACGGATAAGTTGAAGTTCACTGGCAAATTCATCTTTGATCTGCTTTTGTCCGCATTAGTTCACACGTAAATGGACGACATTTTCAGACAATCCCGGAATATTTTTTCTTTTCATTCCACATATGTAAAATACTATGCAGTGTTGTACAAGATGGGGGTGATGTAGAGGTGGTCCAAGTTGCTCGCATGCTTTGCCATGAACCTGGAGGCTCGAGTTTAACTACTGGGCAGACAGCAAACCTTCAGTGGCGAGAGATGTCTGTGAGCCAGCAAGGGCTTCACTTAAATTCCCTCCACACACCCCCCACCTTCAACCCACACTCACCAGCATTGGCAAAGCACCATCAGGCAAGCAACACAGCATTTGGGAGGCCTCCATCCAACAGTGGAATGACATAAGGCTCCAAAAATGATTAATATTTCTAGTTATTCATTAATTTTTTATGTGTTGGCTGGGGACTTTCACAACTACAACCGGCCACAACTTTTGTATGTATAATCGAAACATTTAATTTTAGGTGTAATGAAGCAAGGACGATTATAAATACCAATGCTTTAGATGCTGGTAGTGCAAACAATCGTTACGTCGATCATTTATTTTCATGTAAAAAAAACTATTAAGAATAATTTTTTTTATGAAGTGTGAACGGAAATAAAATCATTTTTCTCAATTGTCAGCTTATACAATGCATTTGTTTCCACTTAGCGGCAAGTTTTACGTTATTTGTTTCTTTCGCTAAACCTTTTATAACTTTGCTTACTTATCTGTGTATGAATTATTTGTATGTCCCGAGGCCCCCTTTAGCAAGGTACTGATTCTTAATGGACTGTCCCCCTGGTAATGTAAAGGCTCCAAATGTTATGACAAGAACAGGAAACAACCCAAATGCAGAGGATACATTGTTGCTATTAAACACATTTCACGAAGGTTTAATATTCTAATAACCTCAAAATTATAATTTTTATTGATTATTTAGTACAGTAGCTCCTTTTCATTTTAGCAGTATTTGTTTTGGTCATGCACCATATTGCAGTACAGTAAAGCTCCTTAGATGCAAATCCTGACATGTGCACAGTAGAACTCTTATCCGTGACAATATTTATTCTATGGGTCTTTCGGTAAAGCCACGTAGATAGAAAAATAATATCACGAAGTTTCGATCGCAACACAAGCAATCATCTTCAGGTGAAAAAATACCAATATTCTTTCTGTTATCTGCGATTATCCACATTTCTGCCCCACGTCATGCAATCCAGAACTATGATCCGCAATTTCTTTACGGATAAGTGTAACTTCATTGATAAATTCATCCTAGTATCTGCTCTTGTCCATGTTAAATGGACTATATTTTTTGATAATCCCATAATCATAGGATCGTCAATGTTTGCGCCCTCCTCCATATCAGCGCGGATAAGAGTTCATTTCTACTTACTTTGTTTTACACATTTTGGTTATTCCTCGTGACATTTGTTTTTGTTTGTTATATATGTAAAAGGAGTTTCCAAACCATGTGCACAAGTGGACTTAGAATGTTGTGCCAAAACAAAATGGAGATTTCTATTTGCAAAAATGTGCCCGCCCACACCAATGTGGATATGAGGAATTTAACGGCGTAAAGTGAACGTGTCTTTGAGTTAATATATTGTTTTAAAAATGTGTCTGTGTAATAGACTTATAAATAATTTGATTCATTACACGATACGGACTACTTTTATATTCTGCTCATTTACTATTTTAGATACTGCAATGCGCACTGTATATATGTACAGTTTAGTACATATTAAGGTTTTGTTGCATACAGTATACTATATAAAGTTGTGTATGTACAATATACTGTATGTTTTCACAACACAGTATATATAATTTATATATCTACAGTATTTCTAAATTTGTACTTATAGATTTTGTCTACATTATATAATACAGCACTGTATATTATAAGCGCATACAGTGTACGTACACTGTATGCATTTTATATACAGTAACTACTGTATGCTTCGAGTCGTGGAATTGTGGTTTGTGCAATGCAGTTACAATCTTGGATGACCTGGGTTCGATTCCTGGCCATGGCACACCTCAGCAATTAACAACCGAGCCTGTTCTGGACCTCCCCTAGGTCAAGTCTGCCTAAAGTATCTGTTGGGACAGTGCAGTCAACATGAGCACCTACTACAAAAAGCATTTGGGAGTTAGGGGGATTTCCAACCATCACCACAAGCTGGACATATTTTCTCAGCCAGCCTAGGTCTGTTATCAGAACTTTTCAGCCACAGTACGACAAGGTTCAACACCATGCCGTTCGTTTCCCGGACCTTGGTACAAATCAATTCCTGCCGCCCGAACAACACAGATACCAATTCCTGGACTGCACAGGTCAAACCCGGACAGATGGCAACATTAGCCGGGAGACAACATTTGACCAGGCATTATTTGCGCTCATCACACCAACCCCTAACGACATTCCTAAATATATGAATCGGAATTTGCGAACAGCACTTGAGTCTCTACAATGCTAAACAGGGAATATACCACTAATTTTCATTTGCAGACTAGTGTCCAGAATGCGATGGGTCCTCGGATAATGCTGCAGTGTATATAATTGTCCGCTCCTCATACCTCCCCGGACCCTATTCCCTCCCCTCGATGGGTTCCATGCCCAGTGAAGCCCAGTGGCGGCAGGGAAATTCCTTCCACACCAACCACGACCGTGATCACATTGCTGCAAGTAAAACATAAAACGTCGCACTTGCTAACCGAAGGAGCATTAATTAAAAGTTTACATCGTCAAACTAAAGTTAAGGTGAAAGGACAAAAGACACGTTAAGAACTGTGTTTGGGTGTGGATCAGCTAGTGTAAGAGAGAAAGGAATACAAAGTAGGGGCAGAGAGTAGATGTTTCTCGTTTGACCTCATTGCAAGTAGCGAACCCTCGTCTAAAGCCAGTGCACACACCAGCTTTCGCTGGCCACAACCCAATGCTCAATATGCACAAAAGCATTCTGTCCAGTCAATTATCATCTCAAAATAGAACATCAATCTTGAACCATGCCAAAGCCTCAGCCTAAAAACCGCTTGACAGAAGAAAAAGCAACTTACACGTATTGGGAATTTGAATGAACTCAAATCTATTTCCATAATAAGAGATAAACATACAAAATGGAACAATGTCTGTCACATGCACAGATATGCTTCTAATTTCCCTTCAATATTTGTCTTTGTGAAGTTGGCACTATTAATCTGCACATTTAAATTGATTTAGTTTATGTATCTATACAGCACAATCTGTTTAAACGTTTTCACCAATGATTGTGTTTGTCGGTTGTGTTAATTGGAGTCAAGGCATGAGGCGACAAAAATGGTGACCCCTACACAAGCCTGCAGTCATCACACAGCAGTGGATGAATGGAATGTGCCACCAGGAAACCACATCAAGAGGAGTCTACATCTTCAATGCCCTGTGCAAAGGTATCGCCACGTGTCCATCTTCCAATAAATACTATAAATATACAAAGACCAACATTCAGAACGGAGCACATTCATTGAAAAAATATATTATGCTTTCTTGATACAGCCATCGATAACCAGGCTGAGAATCAAAAAACGCTCACTGCATTTCGAAAATGCTGTATAAACTTGGATAAGAGAAAGCCTGGACTTAAAAAAAAAGAATACCAGTGGTGATGAATCATAGAGGTTGTATCGGGCCGTTATAAGCCTGCGGTAGAGACATGATCGTTTAAATTGAATGTCTAGACGCAGCAAAGTAAACTTCACCGAGTGTGCTGATGCTGCTCTATTGTAAAGGGATGTCCACGGCACTAGCAAGAGAACATTTAACGCAACAAGGACACCAAACCGCAATGCCGATAGAGCTCTAAATATAAGTGCAATGGGCATTAATTCCCCTTTAAATATATTCAAAGGTAAAGGCATTAAAATCAAGCACTAATACATCAATCGGTGGGAAGTTAAGTCAACGTACAATCAAAGGAAAGATGTAAAATTGACTGCCATGAAAGCCACCATTGCGAACGACAAGTGATGTGACTTGTACATCACAAATATTCTGCAGCGTTTTTTTGTGGAGGATTAAACTATGACGCTGGGGAAATTGGTGGCGCTTAGAAGCAGGATTGAAGGTAAGGGGGTAGAGATAAGTGAGCATGCTGATCGTGTGCTTGTGTTGTGACACGGGTACACAAGGTTTTTATAAGAAGCTGCATGAGGTATAGGGAGCTAAGCCCCAAGATGCCAGAGAGGGAGAAACTCTATTCGATGTCAGCCGTGTAAGATTCACGACAGTTGGAAATGGCAGGCGGCCATTATACAAACAGTCACATTCCCTGCAGCATGATTGAGCCACCTGCTGGGGAGGGCAGTCGACTTGCCAGCCGCATCAGATACAGTCTAGCTACACTAACAGGGGCCGGCAATCACATTCATGTCACCTTGACTTAAGAATTCCAGCCTTGCCCTTGACTTGAGAAGTCTTGACATAAGCCTTGACATTTCAGAGCCACAGCCTTAGCCGTGATTCTAAGAGCCTCATCGTTAGCACTGACTCTGGGAATCTTAGCCATGGCTTTCACTCTAAGAACCACTTCCTTGCTTTTTACTATGGAAGTCACAATCTTGGCCTTGACTTTAAGAGCCCTGGTCCTGGCCTTGACTTTGGGAATAGCAGTCTTGGCCTTGGCTACAGCAGCCGCAGCCTTGTCCATTGGGAGCCTCTTTTAGTGGCTTAAACATAAGGAGCTCCAGCATTGGCCTTGACATTTGGAGTCTTGGTCGCAGTTCTAATTATACAAACCCCAGACTTGGCCTTGTCTTATGAGGGTGTCCCAGCCTTGACCACTGGAAGTCTTATTCTTGGCCTGGACATTTAAAAATCCAAGCCTCAGCCGCGCCCTTACGAGTCTTGATCTTGGCTTTGACTTTGGCAGTCCCGGCACTGACGTAGGCCTTCACTGTACGAGTCGTGAGTGTTGAAGGGTAGGGCTGGCTCAGCTCGGCGCAGACAGGGAAAAGGGGGTGTGAACGGCTGTCTCTGGCTGTGGCAGCTAGCTGCCCGGCGGCCCCTCGTTGAGGAAGTACGTCGTCATCTCTCCTTTGCCCTTCACCTTCACCATGCCGCGGCACTCCAGCTGATATCCCTTGGCAACCAGGATGTTGTACATGTCGGTTGTCACCTACAGCGGCCATTTTGTTGAAAGGGACAATCGTTAGTAGTGTTATCGTTGCGGTCTGTTCATCTGTGCGTAGGGATGAGGGCGCGTGTGTGTACACAAGTGGAGTGCATTTGTACGTGTGTTTGTGTCATTGAGTGTGTGGGGAGCGGTAGTGTAGCGGTTATTGTACTGTGCTACAAACCAGGGGACCAAAGTTCGATTCCCGTTCACGGCCAACACCGGTGACGATTTTCTGAACCAGTCCTGGGCCTCACCTAGGTCAACTCAGCCTAAAATTAGTACCTGGTGCGGTGTGCAAACATCGCCACTGGGGAGACAAAGGCGGTCAGGCGAGGTGTTGGCCATCCACCCCCTCGTGTGCCATGTCGGCCTTCATAGGTCCTCGCTAACAACACTTGCCCCAACAGTCTGCTAAGGCTATGGGGGGGGGATCTTTGTGTGTGCATGTTTGGGTATTTGTCCGTGTTGGGTGGTGGCGGGTTTAACGACACATTTCCACGATCTAACCCAAAAAACCCTCTATTATGGATAAGATAGGCCGCAAAAGCTTAATGTGCTAAATTTGGATATTTATGTTTGCATGTTTTATAAGCGTGCACACATGTATACGTTTGTATGTGTTGTGAATATTTGAGTGCGTGAGTGGCGCAGTGGTTAGAACACTGCGCTATGAACCTCAGCAACTTAATTTTAATTGCAGGCCACAGCTAATAACAGTGGGGAGCAATACTTGCACTGCTCCTAGGTCTTCATGAGACAAACTCAGCCATGTAAGGTGTGTAATCATCAGCACTGGGGAGACAAATGTGGAGAGGCATGGTACTTATATTACCACCCCTCATGCCCTGTGGTGGCCTTAATTAGGTGCTCGTTAACAGCACCTTGTCTTTGTATAAGTGTACATGGTTGTGTGTGCTTGTTTAGACACTAGTGCATTTATGCATGTGAATGCATGTCAGACGATGAACAAATCACCCAGAATGCACCAGATCTCATCATATCTCTGAGCTAAACAGGATTGAGTGACCACACGCGTAAACCGGGTGTTACAGGCCGATGTGCGGCTATGCTGTCAGCTGAAGGCAATGCAGCTACATCTATCGTTATAATCAACATCTATGTTGCCTGCCTTCACCACCAACTTGCACTGAGCAGCATGGTTAAGTATGGTTAATTATCCACCCCACAACTCACACGGTGTATGGAGGCCCTCATCCAGCAGTTGCTGGACAGAAGGGCTGTGCGTGATGATGCCACCACCAAAAACCAAGACGAACCTAACGACCTGAGTTCGATTCCCACTCAAGGCCAATATCAGTCACTATCATCTGAACTATTCCTGGGCCTCCCCTAGGTCGAGTCTGCCTTAAATGAGTACCTGGTGCGGAGATGTGTAAACATTGCCACCAGGGAGACAAAGGCTGCCGGGCGTGGTGCCGGCCACCCGACCCCTCGTGTACCGTGCCGGCGTTCATAGGTGCTACTCGCTGTCGGCACTTGCCCCAACAGTCTGTCAAGGCTACAACATGGGGGGATCTTTGTCTTTGTGTGTGAGCAGACATGCCTGTATGCGCTCGGGATGCCCGGTGCTGTCCATGCGGCTCGCCACGTTCACCGTGTTGCCCCAGATGTCGTACTGCGGCTTCCGGGCGCCGATCACCCCGGCAACCACAGGGCCTACGTTCAGGCCTGACCACCACCACCAACAACGACGATGCCAACAACAATGTCACAGTGGTTTGTTAACAATCCCGTGATGTTACCTCCCCATATTGAAATACATACACCCCACTCGTGGTCCCGACTTGGTGGGGTGGCGAGCCCACTTTTCTCCCTTCAGCACCCCTCCCACCACACCGTGTTGTGGTTTGTGTTCTGTACCGGGCTCCTCTTGAAATATAAAAAAAAAACATTCCTGGTGATGTTCTTAGAAAAACAGTAGGGCACATTGGCCGATGTCGCAGTCCAAATTTGAAAAATTACTTCAATAACCAAGAGCAGCGTCGCCCCCACCACGGCCCTCTCTACTGGAAAACGAATGCCCGCCAGCAGGCCAGCGCCGCGTTCACCTTTTGTACCGCAGCGACGATGATACACGTGGAGTCAACGTGACGAGATGGCATCGCGCGGCGCGGGACATGATCGCCATGGTTGAAAGGCTTATCGGTTCGGCGCTGGATTTATGTCGGCAAGTTTTGGCCAACCCTTTGATAAACTAGGCTGGTTTTTTGATAAAAATATTATCAGGCCGCAAGGTGTGAAGTGGAATCTCCGACTCTTTATTATCCTCTGTGCCTCTATGGCCTCTCTATTTATGTGCTATGAAGAAGCGTCATTGCCCAAAACGTAACCTACTATATATGTTTTACTTTGAAGGCCACGGTGGTATTGACACGTGCTGGGTTTTTCTTTGGGGTAAGTCCCAAATATCAACACAGCTTTATACTAATATTTCACTTCCACTTGATTTATCATGATCGCCTTGCTCCAAACAGAGAGAGAGGATAATGCATTCTCGATTTCAGAGTCAACGACAGCAACAATATCGATGTCCATCGACAAACAATCTTGGACATCGTCGCCATCTGCACGTGACACACTTGTGAAATGCTGGCTCTGGAACTTCCCATCATCTAATAAGATAAGTGTGGTGGGCGAGTGATGACAGGAGGAAAAAAAACGTGAAAAACAGAGAAGGACGCAGCGAGATAACAGGTTATAATGAGGTGAGGGTGTGAAAGAGGGGGAGAGAGATGAGGATAGAGCAAGGGCAGAAGAGAATGGAGTGTGTGAGAAAGGAGGTTGCAGCGTAAGAGTGAAACTGGAGGGAGGGTGGTGCAAGAGATGGGGGGGGGGGGAGAGGAGGTGTGAGCAATACTGTAATTAGGGAGGGAGGTAGGGATTATAACTGGGACATTGAGAAAGTATAACAATCGATGGAGGGCAAAAGAGAGAAAATCGAGGGGACAGGCTCAGAGGAGGCGAGAGACAAGGTGACGGAGAGTGGCAGGGAGAGTGGGTGGCAGGCTGCGGATGGGAGAGGGGGAGGGAGGCAGGGTGAGAAACTGGGTGGGGGAGGCAAACGCGAAAGCAAAGCAGCCCGAGAGAGAATGAGCGGAGGGGATGTGCGCGCACCGATCTTCATCTTGAACGTGTTGAAGGAGTGCTCGTTGATGTGCTTCATCTGCTCCATGAGCCGCATGGCGTAGTCGGCGAGCGCCGTGATGTGCGAGCGGCCCTGGCGGTCGTAGGTGGCGTCGTTCAGCCCCGACGCCGCCATGTACGTGCTTCCGATCGTCTTGATCTTCTCCAGCTGCTTAAAGTTATCCTCGCTGATTATCTGCGACACGCGAGCGGGCGAGCATGCGCGGGCACACACGGGCACAGATATTCTCTCATGAGCCGTATGGACCTTTGGGACAAATGTTCTTGACAAGCGCCTGTTAAGGACAGAACGACGCACGTAGAGCTTGTGTGGCCGGAAGCACACCTTGACGCCTTTGTCTCTCCGGTACCAATATTTATACACTACACCAGTTACTCATTTTAGGCTGATTCGACCTAGGAGAGGCCCAAGACTGGTTTATATATCCGCCACTGCTGTTGGCCGTGAGTGAGAATCGGCCTCGAGTCACCAGGTTCAGTAGCACAGTACGCTAACCACAGCGCCACCGCTCCCCACCAGTCCAATCAGCTCCAGAATCCTCCCCTACCAAAGCAGCCCGTCTCTGCTCTAGCCCGTGCTAGCCTCTGCATGTAGCCCCCCCCCTCTACTACCTGGCATGGACATTCACACGCACACACAACAAAGACAAAGATCCCCCGTATAGCCTTAACAGACTGTTGGGGCAAATGCTGTTAGCGAGTAGTACCCAAGAAGGCTGGCATGGCATACGAGGGGGTGGGTGGCCAACAGAACGCCGGGCCACCTCCCCAGTGACGATGTTTACACACCGCACCCGGTACGCATTTTGAAGCTGGGTCGACCTAGGGGAGGCCCAGAACCGGTTCAGATAATCGTCAACGGTGTTGGCCGTGAGCGGGAATCGAAGCCGGGTGGCCGGGTTCGTAGAGCAGCTACACTACACGCACCTCGTCGAAATCGGCGATGATCTCATTAAGCAGCCGAAGGCATTCGACGCCCTCGTTGTTGGCCTCGAGCTCGATGTAGAACTCGGAGAAGTTGCTGATGGAGGCGAACATCACGGCGACGCTCTCGCACGACTGGTAGTACAGCTCGTCGTTGCGCCGTTCGCGAGCCAGGAAGTGCTTCGCCACGTCGCTGGGCAGGATGTTGCGCAGCAGGCGCAGGTTGTAGGCCTGCAGCTCCTCCATCTCCTCCTTCTCCTCCGTCGCCTGCACCGTGAGACCATCGCGGGGTATGGAATCAGAGGCTAAGTCGACGCGGGGAGAGGCCGAGGACCGGTTCAGATGTTTGCCGCCGAATTTGTCCGTTAGCGCAGTGCGCGAACCACTCAGTTTTCAGTTTCATTTATTAGGTATTATTAGGTATAGCCCACACTGCCGCTGTGTGCCCATGCACACACGTGAGCACTCATACGCGCATGCACTCACGCAGAGATCTCCCCGTGTAGCTGTTGGCGAGAGGATATTAAAGCCGCTGCGGCACAAGAGGGCGTGGGTGGCCAGCACCACGCCCGGCCGCCTTTGTCTCACCAATGGTGATGTTTTCACAATGCACACCAGGTACTCCTTTATGGCTGAGTCGACCTCAAGGAGGCCCAGCACCGATTTAAATATTTGTCACTGATGTTGCCTGTGAGCAGGAATTGAACTTAGGTTGCCAGGTTCTTCGCACAGTGTGGTAACTACTAGACGACAGTGTCGCTGCGGGACTGACAAATGCAAATACAAAGATCCCTCATATCGTCTTTAAAGACTGTTGGGGCAAGTGCTGTTAGCGAGCACCTATGAAGGCCGGCACGGCGCACGAGGGGGTGGGTGGTCAGCACCACACCCGGCCGCCTTTGTCTCCCCAGTGGCGATATTTACACACAGCACCGGGTACTCATGTGAGGCTAAGTCGACCTAGGGGAGGCCCAAAACCAATTCAGATAATTGCCACCGGTGTTATCTGCGAGTGGGAATCCGACTCGGTTTGCCGAGTTTGTGGCGCGACGCTCTCGACAGCTGCGCCACCGCTCCCACGGCGACGGTCGCGGTGGTTGGAGGAAGTGGTGGTGGCGCCCCGTTCACCTGCAGCTTCCAGAGGAAGTCGAGGCGCGCCGTCGACTCCACCTGCTGCGCATGCAGGTAGAGCGCCAGCACGAAGAGCGTGAGCACCACAGGCGTGGCCACGCGCAGCGGGATCCGCACCGGCGTGTCCGAGCTGCGGGGACACGCGCAGGGCTTTACGCATCGGGGGGCGGGGGGGGGGGACGTGTGCACGAGTGTGTGCGTACATGGATTGATACGTATGGATACATAGCAGGCCACGTACATGGTTGATAATGTACATGGCAAGGGACGGACAGAATATCGGTGCTACGCTCATTACGGCGTTCGCACAGCACAGCGCAGCGCAGAACAGCGCGTACGTAGCACTCCATGTACAGAGTGCGACAAGCACATGACAAGGCACAGGCAACAACGCGAGATTACACATTGTGGGATGTACACAGCATGTACGCAGTAGTGCACATTCAAAGTACAGCAGTGTTAATGTGTTTACATACCGCACTAGGTACTCATTTAAGGCATAGTCGACCTAGGGGAGGCCCAGAACCAATTCAAACATTCGCCACTGTTATTGGTAGTGAGTGGGGATCACTAACCACTGCACCTACACTCCCCACAAACACAAAGAATACTCAAAATATAATGTAGTAATTAACAGACTGTTAGGACCAATGCTGTTAGCGAGCAGCTATTAAGGCTTGCATGGCACACGATGGGGCGGGTGACCAACACCACGCCCGGCCGTATTTGTCTCCCAAGTGGCGATGTTTTACACAACGCACCAAGTACTCATTTGAGGCTGAGTCGCCCTAGGGGAGACCCAGGACCCGTTCAGATAATCGTCACCGATGTTGGCCGTGAGCGGGAATCGAACTCGGGTCACCGGATTCGTAGGGCAGCACGCTAAGCGCTACGCCACCGCTCCCCACGACACACACGTATGCACTCACGCACGCTTCATTACATGCCGCGTCTGCACATGTGGACAAGTGGATGTGGAGTAGGGGCAGGGTGAGACGTCCTACGTCAAACACCGGCGAAGTGAGCGCATGTGAAGTTTTTTTTTGTTTCCCGGGGAATGCGTGAGCAGAGCACAGACACCACCACCTTACCAGGTGCTTGTGGAGTTCTGGGCCAACGTTCTGTCGAGGCACACAAGAGAGCACACACATACACACGGGCGATCAACTCACGGGTGCCAACACAGGTGTAGTGACGTATTGGCGGTGAAATAGCCACGACAGTGAATGATGACGATCCATAACACCGTGCCACACATCTCGCTTGCGCCCCGTAAATCAGACCGCACTATGCAATATTCTGATCCGTCTACTGGCTCCCAATCCAGTCCCAGATCAACAACAACATCGCCCTCACTGCCATTGCAATCCTTCATGGATTCACCCCGGCCTACCTCTCCTGTGATCGCTTCTGGAAAAGAGCTATATAGCTCAATGGGCCTCACCTGGTTTAAATAAAAAAATATATATTCACCGTATAAGTTGCATATTCGCTCGCGTGTTCTCCCTTCCCTCGTCCCAGTGCATTTCTTCGCGATTCTCTGCGCACTTTTGAGAAGTCACATAAATCTAAATTGTCCTGTAATGTGCGATGGCGGTGACAAATGGAAGGGTTAACAAAATCAATTGCTGCCCGATGTTTTTGCGAGCCACTTTATTTATTTCCAGGTTTAATATAAATGGCATGACATTCTCCAAACACAAGGTGCCGTATTTTATGTGATTATTAATTCATGGCCCATGTTTAAGATGGAAAGATTTTCATTGAAAGCAAAAAAATAAATAAAGCCCAAATGTCACTGCCAATTTTCAGGAGGCGGCGTTGGTACCAAATCCACACCAGCCTCATTAGGACAACTTATGTTAACCGGTGGCTATCGTTTCATGCTGCGCCGAAATGTTATCTCCCCCCCCCCCTTCCACCATCTAAAGCGGTACATAATGATCACAGGAAAGGTTACTCGTGTCTGTAATTCAACGGCCGGTGCAAAAATAATGACGGCTTTCTCCGCTGTCGGTAAATCAGCAGATGACAAGATGTTTGTTATTTTATCATTTCACTTGCTGCATTCCAGTAAATGAATTTATCCTTCACGAGAGTTGTAAATATGGATACCCCTCCTACCTGCAGCTGCCTCTTTCCCCCGACCCTCTCCCCCCCTCCACCCCCTCTGCCCCCCCCCCCCCCACAGAATTAAATTTACTTCTGAAATTCAGGGTAACAATTTGATAAGATAATTTTACGCGGTTTTTTTTGCTGCTGCAAAAAAATGGCTCGTGTCCTTGGAGCGCTCCGTCTGAATGTCTAAATATACGATGAGCGTGCAATTTATAGAAATAAAAAAACTTCGCCACTTTTCACGTGCAATTGCATTCACTTTAGAATAATGGCTTTAATCGATATCGAGCAATTCATAACGACACCCTGACGAATAATCTCATGGGCCCTCTCATAGAAAATGTGGAATTCCCATGTTTTGTTCCCGGACTGTCCTGTAGAGATGAGCGCCACTCAATGCTCATTTGAAATAATTACGTGCCCCGCTTCTGCACAGCCTCTTGAGATGTGGTCACATTCCGACGCTATATAAATCAAAACTCGAATGTACTGCCATTGCAATGTTGTTCGATCTCTTCGGAAGAAGGGATGCCTGTGCACAGACACATTCTACAAGCTTGAATATTGAATACAGACAAAATAACCAGGCAAAGTGTAGAAATTACCTCTGACAATGCCAATAGCAATGCTTTAACAACTACAATCAAGCAGAGTGAAGGCAATTTAACACGTAGGCTTTCGTGACCAATATAATCCAACCTCTATCCATAATAGAGGTGTCTTGAGTTAGAGTGAAGGCACAAATTACAATTGAGCTCTGGCTCAAACGAACGTGAAAACTATTGCAATCCAGCTTTGAAATCCCTCTGGCTTAGCAGCCGCACCGTCTAGAAGCCAGTCCCTAACAGACGCTGACGTCACTATGATGCAGTGACTTTTGACCTTTGAACCCATCATTGCTCCGCAATCTGCGCGTCGTGTGTGTGTGCGTGCGTGTGTGTGCGCGCGTACGAGTGAGCACGCACGTGTGCATGGACACAGCGGTAGTGGAGTGGTTAGCACACTGCACTATGAACCTGACAAACCTGAGTTCAGTTCCCGCTAATAGCCAACATTGGTGGCAAACATCTGAACCAGTTATAGGCTTCTCCCTGGATCAATTTAGCCTTAAATGAGTCCCTCATGTAGTGCGTAAACATCAAGACCGGGGAGATGGATGTGGTTAGGTGTAGTGCTTGCCCCATAACCCGCTCGTATTCTGTGCCAACCTTCATAGGTGCTCACTAACAGCACTAAACCGGTCTTAGGCCTTCCCTAGGTCGACTCAGCCTCAAATGAGTACCTGGTGCAGTGTATTATCATCTCCAACTTGGGAGACAGAGGTGGCCGGGTGTGGTGCTGGCTACCCACTGCCTACTGTGCTGACCTCTATAGGTGCTCACTAACAGCACTTGCCCCAACAGTCTGTTGAGGTTATACGGGAGGGGGGGCTCTTTGTCTAGTAAGACAGCGTTCCGCTTGTGACTAAAACTCGCACAACCGCCCCGCTCCCCGCACCTCCCTGCAGAGACGCCATCATCGTGAGAAAAGAGGAGAGGGTGCGAGGAGCTTTGCGGACAGGGAATGTCATATTTAATTTGGGTTAAACATGAATGGGAAATGGAGTTGCGCTGTTGCAGGGCGCTGTGGGGGTTGGAAGCGTGGGTTAAACTTGAATGGGAAATGGAGTTGCGTTGTTGCAGGGAGTTGGGGGTGTTGAAAGCGTGGGTTAAACTTGAATGGGAAATGGCGTTGCGCTGTTGCAGGGAGTGGTGGGATTGGGAGCGTGGGTTAAACATGAATGGGAAATGGAGTTGCGCTGTTGCAGGGCGCTGTAGGGGTTTGGAGCGTGGGTTAAACTTGAATGTTGCAGGGAGTTGGGGGTGTTGGGAGCGTGTTTCTCATTTTGCGTTAGTTCAGGCAGTCTCGTGCCTCCGTGCGTCCTCGTGTGCCCCCGTGGAGGTGAATTGGATTCTGGAGGTTTGGGGTGACTGGCGCTGCGTTGAAAGGGCCTCTTTTTATAGGAACGGTATCATTGGGGGGGCTCAATTCAGCTTGGGCGTTATCTCTGCACGAAAATAGTGTTGAGACGCAGTGAGGCTTTGCTGGATTAGGACATGGTTATTATTAGTAACAAAAGAAGTTTGCGGACAGTATGCCTCCTTGCAATATATGTCCCTCCATTTAAATAAATAAATGTCTACATCCCATGCCTCAGTGTGGTGAAGCATATGTACATGCGCACACATGGCCAGGAATCGAACACAGGTTATCCCGGGTATTTGTGTAAGCAGCAAAGGTGAGGGTGGGGCTAGGTGGGGGGGGGGGGTGTGATGGAAGAGAAAGGAGGCCACACCAAAATGTGAAGCTTTTTAAATGAAAAAAAAATTATTCCGTGTTTTTTGCTGCGGTAATCATCAAAGGCGTCTCAAGAAGGAGGGGTGTGCGCTTGCACCCATCGCCCACCACCCCCCACCCAACCCCCCCTCCCCCCACCACGGATCACCACCGCGGGTTGCGCCGCTCACTCACAGCGCGTTGGCGTGCGCCAGGAGGTCGTAGTTGTCGAAGAGCGTCGCCTGAGGGATCTCGATGAGCAGCACGAACACGAGCTCCATGGCCAGCATGAGGCCCAGCTTCCCCACGCTGCTGATCTGCAGGAAGCCCGCGCAGGCGAGCAGCGACAGCAGCACGCAGTCCGAGAAGTACTGCGCGACACAAAAGATCCACACCACACCCGCACACCCCCCGCCCCGCATCGCCTTAAGAGACTGTTTGGGGCACGTGCCGGAAGCGAGAAGCGCCGCCAATGAAGGCCGCCACTCTGTTACACGACTGGGTCGGAGTGGCCAGCGCCGTGCCCCGGCAGTGGTGATGTTTGACACACCGCACCAGGTACTCATTTGACCTAGGGGGAGGGCCAGAACCCGTTCAGATGATCGTCACTGGAGCGGGAATTACACTGGTCAACAAAAAAAACATTTTTTTCTGGCCTGGACTTTTGCAGCTGTTTTAGACTAATTTCAGGGTGCTGATCCAAATCTGATCTCAGATTTTCTCTATCACATCTCATTTTTATGCTATCGGCATACCCCATTTTCATTGATTTTACCCGAAATTAACTCTGTCACTTATGATTGCAAGTTGTTGCGAGTCAGTGACTGCTTTAGTGTTAAAATATGGTGCTGTATTTTTAGGATAGTGTGTTTATAATATAATTTTATGTAGATATCCACATTTATTTTATATTTTTCTTCTGCAGTTTTTATTGAAAATATTTGATATCTCAAAAACCTGATGTGATAGAGAAAAACTGATGCCAGATTTGGAATCAGCACCCCAAAATTACCTCATAACCGTTGGAATACCTTATGCCAGAAAAAGTGTGTTGACCAGTGTTAGTGAACTTGGTTCGGTGGCGTTTGTATCGCAGCACGCTAACCTCTGGGCCACCGCTCCCCACCGCCAAGCGCACACCAGCAGGGCGTTAACTCTCGGATGGCAACCTGACCACGGTCCATCGATTGAAATCGACGTTTATAGAGGTTTGACCATACCTCGCCACGCCTAGTCAATGCAAGTCGGTGAAGAGGGTGGGCCCGGGGTCAGTTAGCTGTGGCTGGGAATGGAACTCGGATTGGTTGGGTTCGCCACGCAATGCGCTAACCACTGCGCCGCAGCTCGAGCGCTCCAATTCACTTGACAAGGCGCAAATTAGACGACTCTGGAAGGGCCTTTGACCACTGTGGCTCCTACAACATGGGAAGACTCCGCCTATAGAAATCAAATGGGTCAGGAATATCGCTGCGTTGACGAGAAAATAAAAAAATGTTTTTTATGTAGCGGTGCCTATGATGAAACGTGATGAACAACGCTCCTCAGCCCAATGATACAGGATGGCCATGAGATTGATTTTCTCTGAATTTGTTATACCTGTTATGCATGAGGAATCTCATTTTGAATCAGCTAATCTCTTTTTAATCTCTCGTGCGTCTCATCAGCAGGGCAATGCCACTCAAATTGGTATCACTTGCTCTGCTCCACCGCATTTGGGTCAGGCACATCATCGGCTAAATTAACATTTGAAAACGATGATGAGAATATGTGATCAGGTGATGAAAACCCTGTAACCAAATCGATGGCAGGCAGTATCTAAACCTGTCCTGCATCCACTCGCATATCCACCGACCTAGCAATTTAACAATCCATCGATACATCGATTAAAGTTTACAATAATAATAATAATCATTATGGCAACTTATATTATTCTGTGTGATAGCAGCAGCAATATGTTTAGAGGCTAATTGACAAAGTCGAGGCCTGCTGGTCACGATGAGACAGCTTCTGGAGAGAGTGAGAGAGTGAGTGTTTGAATGAGAGAGTGAGCGAGTAAGTGCGTGAGTCAGTGTGTCGGTGTCTAAGTGACAGTGAGAGTGTATGTATGTTGAATTTCTCTCGCACCATACAGAGCCAACCATGCTCATCGGAGATGCGCGGAAAAAAGAGGGAGTGACAAAGTGAGTGAGTGAGAATGAGCGAGTGAGTGAGAGAGTGAGTGCATTGCTTGAGTGAGTGCATGACTGAGTGAGTGAGTGAGTGCATGACTGAGTGAGTGAGTGCATGACTGAGTGAGTGAGTGCATGACTGAGTGAGTGAGTGCATGAGCAAGTGAGTGAGAGAGTCATTCAGTGAGCCACCTCAGGGAAGCTGCAGTGCGGATGCAAGGAGCTGCACACGTGCGCCTCCTGGCCCAGCGAGAGGTTGAGCGAGCGCAGGAGGCAAACGTCGATGAGGGACGAGGACACGTTCAGGTCGCTCGCCACACACTCGCGCACGTCCACGCGGCTGCACACGAACTTCACAAAGACAAAGATCCCCTGTATAGCCTTAACAGACTGTTGGGGCAAGTGTTGTTAGCGAGCACCTATGAAGGCCTGCATGGCACTTGAGGGAGTAGGTGGCCAGCACCACGCCCGGCCGCTTTTGTCTCCCCAGTAGCGATGTTTACACACCGCGCCAGGTACTCATTTGACGCTGAGTCGACTTAGGGGAGGCCCAGGACCAGTTCAGATAATCGTCACCGATGTTGGCTGGTGAGCGGGAATCGTTCCCGGGCCACCAGGTTCATAGCGCAGCGCGCGAACCGCTACACTACCGCTCCCCACGACACGAACTTCACACACACACACAGTCACGCACACGCCAGCAGGTACCGTCATGGCCAGGAGGCACCGTCACAACCAGCGTCACCGCTACCAGCGCCATCACTACCAGCGCCATCACTACCACCAGTGTTACTTGCACCACCCACTACCAGCACCGCCACTATCAGTAAATGCGTGAGTCGGCACACGCGCTCGTGTGCATACGCACGTGAACGCCAGGCGGGTCACTATCGCAGTGCGTCACACGCGTGGCGATTGAGACCTGCTGGGCCTAGTTTCGGGACGGGACTAGGGGGGGGGGTGGAGGTGGGGAGACGGGCGCGTGGGGCGGCCGGCTCACCATGTTGATGAACGCGGAGAGGAAGACGAGCAGCAGCGTGAGCACGCCCACGATGCTGCTGTTGGTCCGCGACTGCACGATCGTGATGGACAGCCGCTGCAGGTGAACCGGGAACACCTGGACGCCACCAACGGAACCGGCACCAGCGACCGCCGTTACAGCACGCGTCTGCTCGCTGCGCCGATACGGCCGCCAAAAAAACTTCCCGTCCGCGGTCATAAATGAGACCGCTTCGTTTAATTCCTCGCACCACGGCACATGCCAACCATGTCAACCGCGCTACGCCTCCATGTTAAGTTGACACGTAGCCAATATTACAGTTCGTGATAGATTCTCCGGGTTCGGCCACGTAACGATCCGACCAATTCTGTGTCCATAGGAACGTCCAACGCCCGACAGCCGAGCAAATACATTGTCACGTGCACAAGCTTTTAACGCGCCAATTGTTATTGATTTGGCTCACTCACGGGTACGTTGAAGAATAATTCTCGCAACCAAACTTGGCAGGTGGATCCAGAAGCCCTATGATCAACAAGCCCCTGCTCCAGCAATGTCACGAGGTGGAGGCAAGGCTGGAGCGAAGAGTGGTGCAGCGTACGTGTGTGTCTACGCTGAAATTCTTTAACACCGCACGTAGCCAACCGCGCTAATCGGAGGGGCCGGGTGGGGGAAGGACAACGAGAAGCTGAGACGTCTCCGATTGGCTCCGGTCGCACGAGAGATGGACTCATCCTCGGCAAATTGGCCTTCTCAAGACGACTTCACCTTCCTCTCTCCTGGCGGAGCTCGTCACATGGCCCTGTGTCGCACCTCTCCTGACCGGGCGGATGCCTTCTCACGACGCACGGTGCATGCCGCCCGAAATGGGCTCCTCTCTCCCGAACTAAACGCGTGGTAGTAGGTTCTTCGCAGCCAAAACAACGATCCCCCGTTTGTATCTTGGCTAAGGTCGCGTGGACTGGCCCAAAAAGTACGACAGATTGCGTTCACAATCTCTATTATCCCTCACTACTCCTCCCCCATCCCCCCCTCCCTGTGCTCAGCCACGTTTCCGCTCTTTTCCCCTCCCAGCTCCCCTCCATTGGACTAAACTCCCACTCCACATCACGCAGGCAACTTCACTCACCAGTTTTTCTTCCTCCCTTAGGACTCATCTTTCATCAAGAGCGTATCCCTTGCCTACTCCCTGTCCTCCTCCTTAAAACCTTCACCATCCTCCTCCGTCCTAACCTCGGCCCTCCCTTTCCCTATCATCACCCTCCCTTACCATCCTCCCTCTTCCCTCTCCAAACCTCGCCTCCCTCCCGTTCCCTATCATCACTCTTCCTTGCCATCCCTTCCCCTCCCCAACATTCAAACCCCATCCCTTTTCCCATACAGCCAATAACTAATGTACCATTTATAATTCTTGTAAAGCGCTTTGATAAATGTGCGATATAAAATCATAGATAAGATAATAATGCATTTCATGTGGTTGTGAGCATTGCTCCTCAACAGATTTAGTCCCAGTGTGTCTTCTGCTGAAGGGGACTTCATAACAATGGCCACTGCTTGTTCATATTTTTAGCAGCGGTATCGATAAATGACGTTGTGGTGGCTGATGAAGTGTTTAGTTTGCTGTCCTTCCCCCCGCACCTCCGATTAGCACGGTTGGCTACGTAGGGTGCGAAAGAAGTTCAACGTACGTCCATACAGACGCACGGCCACCGAAACCGACGAGCTGGAACAACGATCGCGTGTTAAACGCCAGCTTTGTGTCGGGCTGGCGGCAGGTTCCTGAGCGACGCAGATCTGACTGCATTGTCGCCGTCACCCGCGTGGCCATCGCACGGTACGCAGAGCGAGTATCGACCCCCCCGCCCCCCCATCCACCACGCCCACCTTGATGCAGGCGTAGATCCCGGACACGAACAGCGCCGACACCAGCACCACGAAGCACGTCAAATAGAAGCCCAGCATGAGCACTGAACTGTTGGGGTGGCGGCGGCGGGGGGCGGCGGGGGGCACAAGGAGGTCAAATTCAATAACACGAAGACTACAACACCATGCGTGATTACACACCAGTAAGGGCCACCGAGAGGCAAACCCTATCGGGAATTAACAAATGAATACTCAGCGGGGCCTAATGGCTCGTGAGTTCAAATGGCACGCGGAAATGAGGGGTCTGTTGGGAGACCGTGAGGAGAAACGAAGGGGATTGGTGGGGAGTCAGGAAAGTACCAGAAAGGACGGAGAAAAGGGTAAAAGGAGCGGAGCGAAAGTGCAGCACCTGAACGCCTGCATCCTTACTACGGTTGGCTACTTATGGTGCGAAAGAAGTGTTACATATACATATATACTGCACGCTGTGGGGAATACGTAACAAAGGCCAAGTTCAAGACTTACCCGGCTTGGAACCGCTTTACACATACACACCAGCTCCATAGACATAGCAGGTGACGAGAGAGAAAGGCGGGCACCCTCTCCCCTCTCGCTAGAAAGCCATTCTTCCTGACCCCCGTCCCCCCACAGATGAATCAGCCTTCCCATAGTGCAGCGCGGAATACGCTACCCACGTTGCAGTACAAGGTGGATTAGTATGTATGTACGTTGAACTTCTTTCTCGCCGTACGTAGCCAACCGTGCCAATCGAAGGTGCGGGCGGGGGGGGTCAACAAACTAAACGCAGCATCAGCCACTATTCATCTATCAATACAACTGCAAGAATTATGAGCGAGCAGTTGGCAGTGTTATGAAGTCGCTTCAGCAAAAGCAACGGGACACGTGATTACGACAGCATTGCCTCTGCCAGAGCCAGCAGTAATGAGTAGAGAGCAACTGCTGGTTAACAGATGTGAATGGACCCATTTTTTTGTGAGTTCGTGGGTGAGTGAGCGAGTAGGGAGGGTGGGGAGTGGTGGAGTAAGTTAGTGAGAGTGTGGGTGGGTAGGGTGGGGAGTGGTGGAGTGAGTTCGTGGGTGAGTGGTGGCGTGAGTTAGTGGGTGAGTGGTGAAGGGTAGGGGAGTGGTTGAGTGAGTGAGTGGGAGTGTGGGTGAGTAGGGTGGGGAGTGGTGGAGTGAGTTCGTGGATGAGTGGTGGAGTGAGTTAGTGGGGAGTGGTGGCGTGAGTTAGTGGTGAAGTGAGTTCGTGGGTGAGTGGTGGAGTGAAGTTAGTGGGTGAGTGGTGGAGTGAGTTCATGCGGGAATGGCTGAGTGGTGGAGGGCGGAGCGGGGGATGAGGGAGGGGCACGGGGAGAGGGGTGCACTCACTGGGGGGTGGCGGTGATCTGCACGAAGCAGATGAAGAGGAAGACGATGAAGGCGCAGCCCACGTAGGAGCCGAACCTGTCGTCCACCTCCTGCGAGTACTGCACACGCGCGCGCGGGAGAGACAGCCTGCTGTTTAACCGGCCACCCTTCTAGGTAGACTCAGCCTCGAATCAGCATTCTACCTGGTGTGGAGGTGTGCTCATGAATGTCAGTGATGGGTTTGAGACCAATGCAGCCAGGCATGTTGAGGAGCTGGAGAATAGCCCACGGAAGCGGATAGCATGGGAACGACTTTCGAGATTGCTTCGAGTGACCGCCGTTCCACGCACACGGCAGAGGGCAGCACTTTCCCACCCGCCCTGTGGCGGAGATTAAAAACCAATCACTGTATGACAGTCAACCCGATGTTTTTTTTAATTCTCTAGAGTTTTAAAAGAAGGCAATTTATTGCAGAACCAAATTGAATGAAATGGGTTGTTTTGTGTGTGTGTGCAGTCACTGTTGACGGAGATGAGAACGGCGGCTCACGTCTACGTTGAGAAGCCGACTTAAGCACGGGCGGAGGCCTGGATTCGAAGCTAGGTCAGCGGCGATGCAAATCATGTATGCTTAATTACTGTATTCTTTTGTTTAAACATTTTATTCGTTGATGCTGCATTGGCAGCGGTGCACAAAGATAACAACCAACTCAACACGTTGATCACTAAAACCTTTTAAAAAGTTTACAATAGGCGACGGTACGGGCAATGGCCCTTCTTCAGAGCACAGTGGTATGTACGTGTGTATGTTGGACTTCTTTCTCAAAGTACCTAACCAACCGTGCTAATCGGAGCTGTGGGGGGAAGGACAACAAACTAAACACGAAAAGCAGTTCTAAAGAAATTCGTTTTCAATCTAGATTATTTAAAAGTGCATAGCTCCAGTGGCTTCTTAATATTGGAAGGAAGAGCGTTCCAGACGGCCGCAAAAGCGCATCTGAAAGCGCGCGGTGACCGTCTTCGTTTGATGGCTCGCGAAAACGCGCTGCTTTTTACGAACGTGTTGAGGTTTCTTTAGTTCTGATACATCATTCGATTTTTCGGGTACGAGCGATTGGGTCGACGCACAATTGGATTCGCACGCAACAACGCCGCGGATAAAAGGAGTCGCTCCCCACCATCCCCCCGCTCGTGGCTGCCGACCGGGCATTTTACGACCACGCCAACACAGCCGTTATGAATGTACAAAGGCAGGTGTTCTATTGTGGGATACACCTGGGGGAGGCTGAGAGTGTGTGGGTGTCTGCGTCATGGGCACAAGGCGTCATGAGTTAAACCCGTTTCCACCACCACATGGGACATATCCCCAATAGCTCTCGGTTATCATTATTATTATATTTACACGTTATTGCAGTCGATGCACCTCTGATTGGCACGGTTGACTATGTACGGCGCGGGAGATGTTCAACGTACATACGATGCGCTTTATCCCAGGAAAAGCAAAGCATTGCTGATTTCTTTTTAAGACGCCTGTTATATAATTATATCTACGTTGCTGATGGTGGTTTCGGTTGCACGATAAGCTCTACCCTTTCATCAGCAACTCGGTGAGGAGCGAGCGTGCTGGTGGGCGAGTGCCTCCTCATGCCCCGTTACGGGCTGCGGGGATTATTTCACCCCACCAGTCAGTGCAGGTTGGTAGAGGGGGGGGGGGGTGAGTCTACATGTGGAAGCATAGAAGCACAGGACAACAATGGATTTTACTGCACTACCTTCTCTTCCACTGGCCACAGCGTAGCACAGAACCTGCAGCCCATCCAAACATTATCTGGGTTCAACTTTGCTTAGCTGCTGGGATCTGATGGGATAAGGGGGTGCACATTCTGGCTTATTTTATACAAGGCAACTTTCAGATATGTAACACAAAAAAAATATTTTATCAACGATGGCTGTTCTATGAGGAGACTGCCCCTGCCATAAAAATGTGGAATTTCAATGAGTGTCCCCGGGCTGTTTATGGATATAAAGGCTGATCAACACACGTGCTTGAAATCCCACTTGTTAAAACGTGCTCGATCAGGAGAGATCTGTACTCTTTGTTTTTTTCGCTAAAGTCACGTAGGTAAAAAAGGAAAATAAATTATTTTACCTACGTGACTTTACCGGAAAAAAAAAAACAAAGAGTATGGACCCTTGCAGTCACGAAAACTTAAAATCTAGAAGGAGAGATCTGCTTGAAGAAAATGTTCATTTGGTGTCTTGATATTGTTACGAGCCTGTAACTTCTCGCTGCAGGGCAAAGGGGCTCTCCGCTATTCCCTTCCAATCCATTCTGTTGCTGAGGCCTCCCGTGCAGTCGTGACCTCTGAACTCTGTGATGTCATCTCGCTGCTGCTGCCACCTTCTCTTCCGCTGTCTCCCTTCGCTTCTCCTCCCTCCCCCACGGTGTCCACTCTGCCGTGAGCTTTGTCTGTCGTCTCTGGTCTGTCATTATCGCAGTAACCATTGGCCCTGCCCATTTCCACTCGATTTATTTTTCCTTTTTTGCACGTGGTACAGTATTTTAAGTGTTATTTATGTCTTGAACGTGGGAGGAAAGCGGAATGCTCTGAGGAAAACCATGCGTACGACTGTGGTAGTTTTGGCCAATGGGACAGGATAATTAGTGATTTAGTATGTACGTATTTTAATAAGACACCAAGGACTGGCGTAACTCGGTCCTTTTCTGAGAATTCTACCCAAAATCACGGTAATGCCCTGAAATTATCACGCACGTAGAGATACCAGAGTATGGCGCACAGTGCTCATCTCATCGCCAGCCCTGAGTGTGCTGTGCAAATTCCACATTGCCATGGCGGGAGCCAGTTTTATCCGCAAAACGACTACAGCTGCGACTTCCAAGAAAACGACGCTCATTTGATCAACGTTGGAGAGATGCTGGGCTGGGTCGAGCTGAGTCGACCTCCTCTGCCCGGGATTTGAACTCAACAATTTTAATTATTTCAAGACGGGCATTCTATCCGCAGCCCCCGCCACCCTCCTCCCAACACTGATGGTCCCATCCCCCTCCCCCAGCCAAACAGCTAAATAAAGGAAATCATGAACGCGTCTGCTGACTTGCCTGTACATTCATGGGTAGTTGAGACCAAGGAGTGCAATGTCCCAGTGAAATAAAACAAAAAACTGAACTATTTTTTGCTTTTTTGTTCAACTATTTTTTATTTCACCAGGTAAGGCCCACCGAGCTACGCAGCTCTTTTTCTGAAGTGACCTGGCCAAAAGAGATAGCTCAACGCATGGAAATTGATAGCAGCCAAATACTCTAAATGCATGTTTATGAATGTGGAGGGAAAAACCGTAGGACCCGGAGAAAAATCCACGTGACCACGGGGAGAGAGAGACAGAGAGAGAGAACACGCAAACTCCGATTATACAGGCGTCAGGGTCGGGATCGAACTCATGAACCCTCCTGCATGCCAGGCGAGGGAGTTAACAGCTCGCCAACGGCGTCGCGAAAATAAGGGCAGGATGTGGGACGAACTGCGTCCCCGAACGGGTGGCACGGGCGGTTCCCTGGAGGTGCTCGCCATCAGCACTGTCGCCGGGCGGCGCGTTACGGCACGGACTCCGTCATCCCAGGGGTGCGGGGGGGGGCAGGCGCCGTCCTTCCCTTTCCTGCCTCCCTTCCCCTTCTGTCCCGTCGTCACCATGGCGAGTAATTTCGCAAATGCACACACACGTGCGAGCGTTGGGTCGTCTGGGGGTGCGTGGAGCTTAGGGGTGGGAAACGTGCACGCGCGGACGCGACTTGCACGTACACGTGCACGCACGCGCATTCGCGAGTGTAGGTGCGAGTGCTATTTGCGAACGCGAGGGCGCGGATGAGTGTCGTGCCGACGCGTCTGCCCGTGCACGTGCGCGCATCTTGCATTGCCGCCTACATCTCTGCGTTCGTTTGAGTAGAGCGGCGTGTTTCTGGATACGCGTACGTCTGTGCGCGCGTGGAGGGAAAAACCGGACGACCCGGTGATACATCCATGCGATCACGACCACGGCGAGAGAGAGGCAAACTCCAAATACACAGGGTTGGGATGAAACCCACGACCTTCTGCATAACAGGCGAGGTAATTAACATGTCGCCACCATGATGGTCATCACCCATCCCAAGTACTAACACTGGCTCAACCCTGCTCAGCTTGGGTTGTATGCAGGGTGATCTGGTCATAGGGGGCACTGCTGGTTACTAATGCTGCTGCTGCTGGCATTGTTGGTGCTGCTGGTTCTGATGGTGCTGCTTGGCATTGCTGACGCTGTTGCTGCCGCTGCTGGGGCTGGGAAAAAGGCCTCACCTTCTCCTCGAGCTCCGGCTTGCGGAACGTGAGTAAGATCTTCTTCACGTGCTCCGATCGCAGGCGGTCGATGCTGCGCGCGTCGATGGCTCGGCCCAGGAACTCGTTCACCTCGTCGTCGGGGCTCAGGGCTTCCGGCATGATGCTCCTGCGACGATGGGCCAGCACCCGGGGGGCACACGCGGCGCGGTTTTTTTTCCGACTTCTCACCAACGCCCCAGCTAAGCCATACAACCGGGTGCTTTTAATTGTAATGCATAAAACTAAAATACAAAAACTATTTTACCACGTAAGGCCTCACTCAGCTGTGTAGCACTTTTTAAGAAGCTCAATGGAGTGGCTTATCGCGTGCGAATTTATAGCAGCCAAATACACATGTTGATTCTAAGTGTAAAGGGAAGAGCCGGGGGACCCAGATAAATATCCACACGACCACGGGGAGAATACGCAAACTCCAAAGAAACAACAGGCATCAGAGTCTGGATCAAACCCACACCCTTCTGTATACCAGGCGAGGTAGTTAACATCTTATCACCGTGGCGCCTAAAGGTACAGCCCTGCAATTGCTCTCGAGTCTGAGACCATCTAGAGAGACCATATCGAGTGGTATTTAGGCCTACTCTTACACACTGGCCCGACGTCATAAAAGAGATGGGAGTACCCACAGTTTACCCCACCACACACAACCCGTCGATTGACATTGGATGGGGTTGGCATGGTGGCAGGGGGTGGGGGGGGGGTGGTAGGCCCATGCCAGTCACACTCTGTCGCCGAGCCAAGGTGACCCCCCTGTCCAGGATTTGAACTTGCAAGCTGCCAACCGTGAGTCGTATGTTTTTAGTCATAGTGCCACGCATATGGATTACATTTAATTTCACCAACCATTAACATAGTGAGCATTCCAGCTGGGTGGTTCTGAAGCAAAAGTACTCAAATCACATGTCAGAAGGTCACTAGTTCAAAACAATTCTGGTCACGGATCAACTCAAGCCTCCATCATCATCATCATCAATTCTCCAGGGCCAATACGATTATTATCACTTTGTGCATTGTCAACGGATATACTGGCCCCTGTCATAGGAATGAGGAATTTCCACCACTGACTCAGAGATGCGAATGGAGATGAGTTTCACCCCATGCTCATATTGGGCTTCAGACAAGTGTGTGTGTCTGAGTTACATGTGCATGTATGTCCAAGTGTGATACTGCATACCTTTGCACACGTGTGTGTGTGCGTGGCAGAGACAGAATGGGGAACAGTAGTGTAGTGGTTAGCGCACCGCTCACAGCCAACACCAGTGGCGATATTTTAAATTGGTGCTGGGCTTCCCCTAGGTCGACTCAGCTTCAAATGACTACCTGGTGCAGTGTGTTTAAGCATTGCCGCTGGGGAGACAAAGGAGGTCAGGTGTGGTGCTGGCCACCCACCCCCTCGTGTGCCGTGCCGGCCTTCATAGGTGCTCGCAAGTCTGTTAAGGCTATACGGGGGATTTTTGTGTTTTGCAGAGGCAGCAGCAGTGTTGTAGTGGCTACGACGCTGCCTTAAGAACCAGGCAACATCAGTTCAATTATCAGCCACGACTGACATCACTGGCGAGACAAAGTTGGCCAGGCAAGATGTAAGCCACATCACGCCCCAAAAAGGCCCCGTGTGCCGTATCGGCCACACCACCCCCCACCCAGCGTGCAGTGCCGGCCCTCAAAGCTGATTTCTTATCCCAACAGTCTGTATGGTGATATCGAAGGCAGGGGGGGGGGGGGGCATTGGAATGCCGTCACCATTCACCATTAGCCAACTCCCCAACACCTGTACACTTTCAACCTTTAACCGGCATCTATAAAACTACAAAACCATCCTTCTCAGTGCCCACAAAAGGACATTGAAAACGCCCAATGGGTTCGTTTTGTATTATACTTCCCATATCCCCCCCAAGCCCTCGCATACCACGCCAATTGCTTGCATTCTTTCCCGTAAATTAAACTAACAGCGATCGCATATATGGGCACGGTTTTGCAGGCCGTGGCGCCACGGGTGTTGCTAATGGGGAGAGTTTACAAGGGAAGGCGGTCACGAATTGTAGCGCGTGGCTCCGGGCTTTCGCGGTTATGCCCTGTCCCCAGAGCGCTACCGAGCCGGTGCCGTCGAGCACCTGGGTTGCGAATCTGGGCCGCTCTGACCTCGCCATCCCTGCTGGTCACACCGAGTTGTTCAGGTCGAGCGAGTTTCGTGGTCTAAGAACGGCCACCACCACGTGACCGTGTCGAGGAGGCGTTGTTCGGACACGGAGCTCGGCTATGCAACTTTGGTGGTCAAACTGCTTGAGAGAGTCTCAACAGAGACACTCTGCCCTCTGGGTGTCTCAGTAGAGACTCTCTCCCCTCTGGGTGTCTCAGTAGACACCCCTCTCTTTTCAGCAGGACATGTGTATGTGTGTATGTATGTGTGTGTATGTATGTGTATGTATATGTATGTGAATGTATGTGTATGTATGTGTGTGTGCATGCATACAGCGGAGCGCCGGGGCGCTAAAACACAGCAAGTTGGCACAGCAGGGGGCACAGGTGGTTCATCAGCCAGTCATCTCGGTCAGTCGACCCATGGCACCTGGGTCTGTCCCGTGACCTCCTACCAGCGGTCGATAGACACTTCACGTGGCCTCAAAGTGCACTTAGTCTGGCACAAGTGCTGTGACGATGTCACCGCTATCTAGTGGCCAATGGCGGTTGTTGCTGTGCATGCTTGTGCGTATGGAGCACTTGCCCCAACGGTCTGTTGAAGGCCATACATGAACTAATTGTTGTGTATGCGCATGTGTGTGTACGCACATTCATGCATGCACACTTACTTGGTGTTCCCCATGTTGTCCACAAACCCCTGTGAAAACACAAACACACCGGATCACACGTGCGTCCACACAAGCGGTAAGATCCGGCTCTTGAATGAGACGAAACTATGTCACAACAACTATCTATTTGCTTACATATTCATTAAGTCAAACAAGCCGATGTGACAACGTGAATATACGGAAATGAGTAAACAGCTAAGGGGGGGCTGTATCAACATCAAAGTAAAGAGAGCGTTTCCTTTTTAAGTGTATCAACCGTTGAAAACTTCACGAGTGGCAGAATTTGTTTAAAATAAGAAGAAGATGAAAAAAAGCCCCCAGGGAAGATGACAGTGACGACTGTCTGCCTCCATCCTCCTCGCCGCAGATGATCAAACGCAGCTCCGCCACAGCGTGAAGGAGGAGGCGGAGATCCATCCCGCCTGATACATCGTTTACAAATCGTTCATTCGCACACTCACGGACATCATTTCATTAACACATTAAAAATATATCATAGAGAGGAACGGCGTTCAACACGTGGGCTTTCGCGACCAATATCATCCAACATGGTGGTGAGGGCTACAACACAGATGGTGCTGTCTATACAATCAAATGCAAACATCAATTGGTGTAGCTCCAAACAAGACATCGATCGTTAATAACAAGATGGGAGCTCGGGATGGACGGAGGGAGTTTTGAGGCAAGCACCTCCCATTTTGTGGGGCAGAAGACTACAAACGATGGTTGGAGTCTCCAGCCGGGGGCTTTGGACTTTTCACCGAATGCTGCCACGCTGGGCTGCCCGCTGTCCCGCAGTGTAACGTGAAATAATAGTCGACTGATTGGCACAAGAAACGTTTTTGTGTCACGCGGGAAAGTTTGACTGCATCTCTCACGACGTCTTCACAAGGGGCGGGCGAGGGGGGGGGGGTCCTGCTGGGTTTCGCAATCGGGAGCGGGGCGGGGGCGGCGATGGTGGCCGCGTGTTTTCCCAATTGAGTCAATGTCCCCTGTTTCTTTTAACGTGCCAAGTTTCGAAAATAGCGCTATTAGTAAGAGTTAAATAATTTAATATTACTAACAATGCAGTAGTAATGCACGTCATAATCATATCGTGTTTTTTCAGACTTTTTTGTTATTATCGTTGTTGTTTACGCATAGAAGGCTTCGCTGAGTCTCAATACCCTTTTTCAGGAGGGTCCTGCCAAGTTTTTGCAGCAGGGGGGGCGGGCGAGGTTTGCTGCGAGAAATTCCTAATTTAGTCATTTGCAGCTAAGTTTTGGGATCAGGGTGGAGTTCGGGGCGGGGGGGGGGGTGGCCATTAAGATTTTTTAAAAAATACATTAATTCTATGCACCCGCAATTCCTAATGTGAGGGACAAAGTGAACCCCTGCCTCCCGCCCACCCAAATAGAGCAATCAAACTCCGCCTATGATTGGGACATTGTTGGCAATTCCCATTACAGTATATTGAGTGTTTTTTTATTATTTCTAGGACAAGAAACCAGAGAACTCGGAGAAAACCCACTGCTGAAAAAAGGAAAGAGCATTAACAACCCCACACAGAAATTGATTGCTGAAATTCAACTTATTAAATCGGTTCTGTGGCGTTATATTCCAGGGCTGGTCTTCGACACGACGTGCATCTCTGCTGCCTTTATGAGTTCTCCAATGATGTTAATTTTTCACTCTGTGCCATGAATCCAACAGCACAGCTGGGATATAATTGGCAGTATTATGTAATAAAGTATAAATAAACAATGCCAAATTGCCTTTGACCAAACCAGAATTAATCAAAATCTTTTTATTACCCTGGAGAAATCCGATGAGCTATGAATTTATTTTTCACAGATGTCCAGGAGGGGCACGGACACAGCAAGTTTAACCAACCAGAATGCCCCCCCAATCTTGGTCAGATCTCAGAAGCTAAGCAGAGCTGAGCCTGGCGAGTGCTTGGATGGGTGACCACCATGCACAAGACTGGAGTGTGGCAGTCGTATGGGCGGTAGAGGGCAATGCAGCAAAATCCACTGTTATGCACTCCCCAAAAGCCTTCGCCAACCTGCCATGACCGGCGTGGTGAAGTATGGTCAAAATATCTCTCAGCACCCCACAAGGAGTGGGGAGGCCCTCATTATCCAGCAGCGGATTGACAAAAACTGGCTATACATGTGTATTACCAGATTTAAACATTGTGTATTGTAAATGGCTCGAATTCAAAAGGACTCTGGGTTACCTAGCAGATAAGCACACTCACACTAAGGGCCGGTTTGCACAGAGGCGATGCTCAATTTCCACTGCAGCCGCTTTGATGATTGTTACGGTGAATTACCACAATAATTTACAGGCCTCCATCAATTTTCTACTGGATGAAAGCTTCAACACACGGTGTCTGTCATTTTGTGGAATTTTAGTTCGTTACTATCCTTAATGCTGGCCAGTATGCGTTGGTGAAGGTTGGGGCTGTGGGGGGAGTTATTCCCTGCTGGTGTTATCCGTGGCCGTTAAAAGCCGAGTCGACCTAGTGGAGGCCCAGATCAAGTTCTGATAATTATCACTCGTCCCTGATGTGAGCCTCGGCTGTGTCGCCGAGTGTGCAACGCCGCGCGCTAACCACTGCGCCGCCACTCGCATCCGCCTCCGGCTTTCAAAAGTGGATGTCAAAGACCCTGCGACAGAAAGTTCAACTTCTAAAACGATTGACGGGACAATCACAGAAACAACCGTGACCCGGTATAAAACTCAAACCTTCCAAGACCTATGATGGGCCGCACCAAGTTCAAGTTCAAGTTCAAGTTCATTTATTAGGTATAGCCCTGTGAGCCATTCAGCTCTTGAATCGGGTGCAACCGCAACAAACAAAAAACAAAAACATGAACAAAAAAACATCTTAAAGTGAATATGTGACTAAGTGCAAAGAGAAAATCCAAGAAAAGACAGCAAAAATATTGCAGAAAAAACACCGTACACCAACGCTGTGTGCAAAAATCCCAGTGGGATGCAAGTCAAACAACAACAACAACCACAAGACAACTTAGATTAAGGCCATCAGTCTAACTCTGTACTACAACAACACAAACATGGCTAAACCAATACACTGGCTAAACCAATACATGTTGTCAAACACAAATGCATGTGCATTTGGCAAAAGTCAATCTCTCTGTATAAACCAATACATGTTGTCAAACACAAATGCATGTGCATTTGGCAAAAGTCAATCTCTCTGTAGAATCGAAAGGATCAGGTTTTTTTTCCATCCCCAGACTAATGTTACTCATGTTACTCAGGTCAGCTTGACAATCAATGTTTTATAATGAATCTCAATGAGCGCTCAACTTTTTTTTTAGAAATAAAAGACAAAGAACCACTAAAGCAATACAATACGCACATTTATCAATGTCCGTACGTGTGTAAATATGCAAATTACTTTCCTGTTATACGCATTATAATTGTTATGCTTGTTTACTCAGAGAGCCTCACTCACTGAGTCTAAATGTTTCTGCCAAGTGTTTTAGAGTGGGGCGGGGGGGGGGAAATGTTGCCGCTCGAAATGAAAACGAAGTGATTTTCAGGTTACAGTTTTCGCCACTGGGTTATGTATAGTCATGGCTTATGGGAGGTAGATGCTGAAAGCCATGCACGGTTGGCTACGTACGGTGCGAAAGAAGTTCAACATACATGTACACGTGCACGTACAAGGCGATGACACACATCCACGCAAGGGTGGCACAGTCGGGTTTTTTACAATCGGGTTTAATTGTCTTTTTATATTAAACCCGATCATCTGAGATTGGGAGAAATCCGGTATAATTGGTTCTAATTGCAGAACCGCACTTCGCCAACTTCTCAACGATGGGCTTCATCCATTCCAAGCTAAGGAACTCACTGGCGCCCACGATTGTGGAGGAGAAGCTCGTGTTCATCAAGACCAACCTGCCCGCCTGCATTCTACGACTACCTCGTGCCCGACGGCCCCGAGTACGATAGCAGCACCGACGAGGAAGCAGCCTAAGCCTTGGATCAGAGTTTCGTATTCATTAAACCAGGTTTTAATTCCCCGAAATCGGGTTTAATTGTATTAAAGAAAAAACCCGATGCCTGCCGCTGGAAAAATCGGGTTTTTTCCACCCATGCATCCACGCAGAAAGGCACCCGAGTCGAGAATCGAACCCAGGCGTCTTCTTGCTTGCGGTGACGCACGGTGGCACACGTGGTATTGAATCTCGGACAGACTTTCACACGAGCCGCGTGTGTTGTTGATGCCCTTTGTTCGACAAGGTCTTTGCAGCATCCATTAAATTATTAAACGATTGAGCATGGCTTTGGCTGGCCAAAAAAGAAAACCAATGGAGGGGGTGGCACGATGCGTCTGTGTACCAGCAGGGGGCAAGGCGACAACTCGCGTGCACCAAGCACGTGGCCGTGCTGGACAGCAAGAGACAATAACAGCCCCCCCTTCCCCCCTTATTATAGCCCTTAAGCAGACTTTTGGGGCAAAGTGCTGTTCGTTATTTTCATACGCAACTGTAACCACACCCACACGCATGCATCCATACTTACACAAAAACAAAGATGCCCCTAACATGGACATATATTAGCACGGTTGGCAAAGCACGGTACAAACGAAGTTCAACGTACATAGGCTGGTTCTTTCGGTAAAGTCAATCAAATAATAATGGAATACGACGTTTCGGTTGCAACACAAGCAACCGTCATCAGGTAAGAATGAATGATAAAACGCAGACACGGGAACAGCATAGGCAGACACACATGCAGAGAGAGACACACACACACGAAGACACACCGAGCGAGACACACGAAGACAAACAGAAAGCTTCGAATCTAGTTTGTACATAGGCTGTTCGGGCAAGTGTTAAGATAGCAAGTTGATATGAAGGCACGCATGGTGCACGAGAGAGTGTGGTATGGCCAATACCACACCCGGCACCTGAGCTGGCACCACGAGACCCTGGGTTCAAATCCAAGCCACCGCCACAGACGGAACTGGATTCTGAAGTGGAACGAGTTGTTTTTTTCTTCTACTTAA